AATTGGTGTGATCTTGACGTGAATTTAATCTTATGTGCCGCGTAGACGATCATGGCTCTCCACTTCCTCCTATCCCTTGTAGTTCTCAAAAAGTTTTGTCTCTTTGCTACTTCTCCTAGACCCTGTTCTGTCATCCACTTGTCTAAGCCCGTTAGGTATATCATGATTTGCTTTCCCTTGTCTCTCTTTCCCTCTATCTGCCATGTGAGTATCATATTTTCCAAGCCTCCCTTCCTCATTACTTGTCCCAGAAATTTCAGCTGCCTCTTCCTGGTGTTAAGTAAATATTTCCTCTTTGTTTGCAATCTCCCCAAAACCTCATCGTTGCACACATGTTTGGTTCATGGTATCCTTAGCATCCTTCTGTAGAACCGCAACTCTGTTGCTTCTAGTCTCTTCTTTATCTTTGAGGAAACCGTCCAACATTCGCTGCCATAAAGGCGGACAGACATCACGTAGCAGTTCAGTATTCTTTACTTTGTGACCAACGAAATCTTCCTGTCTCTTAATACTCTGCTTAGCTTTTGGAAGGCTTCTTTGGCCATCCCGATATGTCTTCGGATATCAGCGTCGCATTTTTCGTCCTCTGTCAGAACACTTCTCAGATATTTAAATTTCCTCACCTGCTTGATTTTAGTGCCCTGGACCTGCAAATCGCATTTCGGGCTCACCTTTTTAGTGAAGATCTCGCGTTCTCTCTTCTTGTAGTTTATGCTTAGTCCTTTCTTCTCGCTCTCCTTCGCGACCTTCTGTAGGAGGTTTTGTAGTTTCCTTTCTGTTATGGTCCAGGTTAGGACCAAGGAAAAACAACACGAACGCAAGAGTAGAAATAACGAAGGTATTATACACGAAATAATAATACAAGATGTGGAAGGTGTTAGTATGACTGTCAGTCTGGTTTGGATTGAACTACTATCGGCTCGACGCGATTCGGTATCTAGCCCCCCCCCACACACACACACAAGGGTTGCACGTGGCACAAGGCCGACTTTAACGTGGGTTTCCCGAGTCCGTAGGCTCGGCCAAAAAATTCCTGTAGAACCAGTATGAACGGGATCGGGTTGGTCAACCTTCCCGAACGAGACTCTGCCCTTCGACGGAGCCTCGTCCGGGTTCCTCTCTGCACAGAGGCAGAGAGTTCGACCGTCAAGCCGAGAAGCTCGGCTTGATTCGGTATCTAGCCACCCCCCCCACGAGGGTTGCATGTGACACAAGGTCGTTTTTATCGTGGGTTTCCTGAGCCCGTAGGCTCAGCCAAAAAATGCCCGTAGAACTCGTATAAACGAGATCGGGTAGGTCATTCACCCCGAACGAGATTCTGCCCTTCGGCGGAACCTCGTCCGGGTTCCTTTCTGCTCAAAAGCAGAGAGTTCGACCGTCAAGTCGAGAAGCTCGGCTTGATTCGAGGGGTATCTAGTGACACAAGGTCGTTTTATCGTGGGTTTCCTTAGGCTCAGCCCCCCCACACGAGGGTTGTAGGTGACACAAGGTCGTTTTTATCGGGTTTCCCCAGCACGTAGGTTCAGCGACAAAAATGTTTCCGAGCCCGTAGGCTCAGCCAATAACTCATGTAAAAACGAGATAGGGTAGGTCATTCACCCTGAACGAGATTCTGCCTTCGGCGGAACCTCGTCCGGGTTCCTTTCTGCTCAAAAGCAGAGAGTTCGACCGTCAAGTCGAGAAGATCGGCTTGATTCGGTATCTAGCCACCCCACACCCCACGAGGGTTGCATGCGACACAAGGTCATTTTTATCGTGGGTTTCCCGAGCCCGTAGGCTCAGCCAAAAATATGCCCGTATGACTCGCAAAAACGAGATCAGGGTAGGTCATTCACCCCGAACGAGATTCTGCCCTCGGCGGAACCTCGTCCGGGTTCCTTTCTGCTCAAAAGCAGAGAGTTCGACCGTCAAGCCGAGAAGATCGGCTTGATTCGGTATCTAACCACCCCCCCACGAGGGTTGCATGTGACACAAGGTCGTTTTTATTGGGTTTCCTGAGCCCGTAGGCTCAGCCAAAAATATGCCCGTATGACTCGTAAAAACGAGATCAGGGTAGGTCATTCACCCCGAACGAGATTCTGCCCTTCGGCGGAACCTCGTCCGGGTTCCTTTCTGCTCAAAAGCAGAGAGTTCGACCGTCAAGCCGAGAAGATCGGCTTGATTCAGTATCTAGCCACCCCCCCACGAGGGTTGCATGCGACACACAGTCAATTTTATCGTGGGTTTCCTGAGCCCGTAGGCTCAGCCAAAAAATGCCCGTAGAACTCGTAAAAACGAGATCGGGTAGGTCATTCACCCCGAACGAGATTCTGCCGTTCGGCGGAAACTCGTCCGGGTTCCTTTCTGCTCAAAAGCAGAGAGTTCGACCATCAAGTCGAAAAGATCGGCTTGATTCGGTATCTAGCCACCCGCCCACGAGGGTTGCATGTGACACAAGGTCGAGTTTTATCGAGGGATTCCTGAGCCCGTAGGCTCAGCCAAAATGCCCGTATAACTCGTAAAACGAGATCGGGTAGGTCATTCACCCCGAACGAGATTCTGCCTTCGGCGGAACCTCGTCCGGGTTCCTTTCTGCTCAAAAAAGCAGAGAGTTCGACCGTCAAGCCGAGAAGATCGGCTTGATTCAGTATCTAGCCACCCCCACGAGGGTTGCATGCGACACAAGGTCATTTTTATCGTGGGATTCCTGAGCCCGTAGGCTCAGCCAAAAAATGCCCGTAGAACTCGTAAAAACGAGATCGGGTAGGGTCATTCACCCCGAACGAGATTCTGCCCTTCGGCGGAACCTCGTCCGGGTTCCTTTCTGCTCAAAAGCAGAGAGTTCGACCATCAAGTCGAAAAGATCGGCTTGATTCAGTATTCAGCCACCCCCCACGAGGGTTGCATGCGACACAAGGTCATTTTTATCGTGGGATTCCTGAGCCCGTAGGCTCAGCCAAAAAATGCCCGTATAACTCGTAAAACGAGATCGGTAGGTCATTCACCCCGAACGAGATTCTGCCTTCGGCGGAACCTCGTCCGGGTTCCTTTCTGCTCAAAAGCAGAGAGTTCGACCGTCAAGTCGAGAAGATCGGCTTGATTCAGTATCTAGCCACCCCCACGAGGGTTGCATGCGACACAAGGTCATTTTTATCGTGGGATTCCTTGAGCCCGTAGGCTCAGCCAAAAATGCCCGTATAACTCGTAAAAACGAGATCGGGTAGGTCATTCACCCCGAACGAGATTCTGCCCTTCGGCGGAACCTCGTCCGGGTTCCTTTCTGCTCAAAAGCAGAGAGTTCGACCATCAAGTCGAGAAGATCGGCTTGATTCAGTATTCAGCCACCCCCCACGAGGGTTGCATGCGACACAAGGTCATTTTATCGGGATTCCTGAGCCCATAGGCTCAGCCAAAAAATGCCCGTATAACTCGTAAAAACGAGATCGGTAGGTCATTCACCCCGAACGAGATTCTGCCCTTCGGCGGAACCTCGTCCGGGTTCCTTTCTGCTCAAAAGCAGAGAGTTCGACCGTCAAGTCGAGAAGATCGGCTTGATTCAGTATTCAGCCACCCCCACGAGGGGTTGCATGCGACACAAGGTCATTTTTATCGTGGGATTCCTGAGCCCGTAGGCTCAGCCAAAAAATGCCCGTAGAACTCGTAAAAACGAGATCGGTAGGTCATTCACCCCGAACGAGATTCTGCCCTTCGGCGGAACCTCGTCCGGGTTCCTTTCTGCTCAAAAGCAGAGAGTTCGACCATCAAGTCGAAAAGATCGGCTTGATTCAGTATCTAGCCACCCCCCACGAGGGTTGCATGCGACACAAGGTCATTTTTATCGTGGGTTTCCTGAGCCCGTAGGCTCAGCCAAAAATATGCCCGTATGACTCGTAAAAACGAGATCAGTGTAGGTCATTCACCCCGAACGAGATTCTGCCCTTCGGCGGAACCTCGTCGGGTTCCTTTCGCTCAAAAAGCAGAGAGTTCGACCATCAAGTCGAAAAGATCGGCTTGATTCGTCCCTCTCTCTTGAGAGGCGTAGTATACATAGTGTTAGGAAGAGTTCATTCTGTAGTTATAGGTAAGGACCTATGACACTTTTCGTGTCATAGGTCCTTAACTATAACTTCACTGTGTCGTTTGCATATCTTATGTTGTTAAGATTGTTGCCACCAATGATGAACATTGGTAGGATTTCAATTTCTCTCAGAATTGCCTCACAGTATAGGTTGAATATCCGGCGAGAAGACACATCCTTGCCTTACACCCCTTTCTATTTTTGTATACCTGCTGAACTCTGTCCGTATGCAGGCCGTTTCTTGATTATTCTAATATCTTTCCAATCCAAGAAAGGAACACTCATAAAAAAGAAGGGAAAAATTCTTTAACGCTGGAACGAATATATTGGAGTACTGAGTTTAAATTAAAAAAATTAGGTATCATAGAGAACACCTCATCCGATAATTATTATTATTATTATTATTATTATTATTATTGGATGTGCAACCAGTGTAACGTTATAGCGGATACCGGTAGAGAAATTGGAATTGGTCCGCCGAGTTCATGTTTTGGACAAGTCTGTAGCGCCCACTTTTGCACGATGCCCTTGTGGAAGACATGAATTAAGTTATTCTATCTCTGGTTATGAGATAAATAGCAAGGCGAATTGAGTTTTCTAGCTCTGGACGGCAACTAATCGAAGAAAAGGAAAACTCTGAATTCCAAACCGTTGAAGACTGGAAACTACTCCACTACCTTTCCTAAGAATGTTCTATGTCTTATCAACTCTTTACATATTATTCAAAACCAGAAATATTTTCAGATTGTAAAATTAGGGGGGGTGTAATACTGATTTAGTGATACAAGTCTTACTAATTAACCCATAGCTGGGAGAAGACACGTATTCATACCTTTCCCAAAGGTTTTTGTGCGTAAGTGCATATCACAAATCCAGCGAGAATTGGAACTCGGTTCGCTAATTAACAATTCTGAGCCATTATATCACCCGCACATCAAATGTTACTGCACTTGGTATTATCAAGCGGTCGCCCATCTTGGTATTCACCACGCCCAACGTTGCTTAACTTCGGTGGTCGTACGGGAACCGGTGTTTCATCGTGATGTGGCTGTAAATACGCCCTGAGGGGACGTGGGATATTAAAGTATAAGGTGAACTAACTCTCTTTCTTTTTCAAACACACACACAAACATACTTACTCACTCTCCCTATAACTTCTATCTTTTTTCTCTTCACCCTCTCCTAAATTCTAATCCCAAATGTCTGCATCGTTTTATTTTTTCTCTCTCTCTCTCTTTCTATATTTCTCTCAAACACGTTCTCTCTCTCTCTCTATCTTTCTATATCTCTCTCAAACACGTTCTCTCTCTCACTCTCACCCTCACTCTCTCTCTCTCTCTCTCTCTATCTATCTATCTATCTATCTATCTATCTATCTATCTATCTCATTTTATCACTCTCCCCATTTATCTTTTAATTCTTCCATATTTACTCTCTTCTTTTTCTAATCTCTAATGCAAAATTTCTTCTTGGCCTTATTTCCTTCACCCTATTTATCTTCTTCTTCTTCTTCTTCTTCTTCTTCTTCTTCTTCTTATTTCTCTCTCTCCCTCTCTCCCTATCTATCTATTTATCTATCTATCTATCTATCTCATTTTATCACTCTCCCCTCTTTTCTTTTAATTCTTCCATATTTACTCTCTTCTCCCTTTCTTAATCTCTAATCCAAAATTTCTTCTTGACCTTATTTCCTTCACTCTATTTATCTTCTTCTCCTCCTCCTTAGCCTCTCTCTCTCTTCTTTTTTCTTTCCTTCACTCTCTCACTCTCTCTCTCTCTCTCTTCTTTTTCTTCTTCTCCTCCTCTTCCTTTCACTTACATCCTTGCGATTCCTCCCCATTCCTATTTCTGCTTCTTTTTAAAACGCCCTCCTTCCATTGATATTCCGAGAATAGCCAACTACGCGCCCACGCACCCCACAAGCGCCACATTTTGCCTTCGTTGGGTCTGATGAATCGTCGACCTATTGTCTCTTGCTCTTCGTTCCCAACAAACTCATCCCATTCCAAAGACTTTTTTTTCTTGAGCGCAACAACGCGCGCGGCCATTATTTCCTCTCGCAATAATTTGTCTTGGCACAAATAGCAACTGACGATTATCGACTGTCACGTGATCGATATATTTGAGCACGAAATTCTCCGTGAAATGCGAACTCTGTCCCTATGTCCGCTCTTTCATTCCATGCATTGACACTTGGGTCAAGACACTTCCAGAATCGAAAAAAAAAAATGGTTATGTGAGCAAATAATATTTTCTTGTTAATCAAATTCCTCAATCTGATGCTCATTTCTTTCATATTCTATTAGTAAGCTCCATTCTCACAGCTTCTCCCCAAGAGCCGCTTTTTTATGGAATAGACTCCCGAGATGATGCTTCCCAACACTATAACCTTAACCTATTCATGTCTATAGTCAACTGCTGCTTATCCTACGTATCTACATAATCTACACTTACTTGCTACTTGCCCTAATGTCATTTAGTAACCCTTGAGTTGCTCTTGAGGCTTGTAAGTTGCAGAACTTTGTAGAGTAACTGACCAAAACTAATTAGCTGAAACATCCAACAATGTTCGCATTTTTTTTATCCTGCTACATCTAGGGCAAGATAGCCTGGGGGCCGGTTTTACATTTAGAGTTTTTACTTCTCCTAGACCGGTTGACACCCAAGGTTTATAGAACCCTGTCTGTCCTGCCATTTACCCATAGCTGGGGTAGAAGAAGATTCATACTTTTCCCAAGGGTAAAGTGAATGCAATGGATACGACTGGAATTCGAACTCAGCTCTCCGATTCCTCAATTTTTGCTTCCTTGTTCGCAAAAAAACAATAAGAAAGAAAGAAAAAAACTAACAGGGCAAAAATAATACTAAGCAAATAATATACGTAAGGTAAAAATAACAGCAGTAAGGCAAAGTAAACAGTTATAAAGCAAAATCTTCACAAACTAAGAATGGTGTTAACACACAAGAGGGGATACAGATCGCAACTTTCTGACATCTTGAGAAAAAAGTACAGAACGGATGAGACCAAGAAGTGGCCTATTTCATTGGCTAGGAAGAAATCCCAGCATGCATCTGTGTGATTTTGTTTACATTTTGCGGACCTTTTTTGCGGCCATTGCTACTCCATGTCGAACCTTTCCTTTACGATCTGTGTCGTGGTCCCAGTCCGTACTGCTACTTTACCGTTAATTGGGGCAGGTTTTAAAGAGATAGATACACGCCTTATAATAACTTTAATTAGTTAATGTAAGTATGTCCACTATTTCGGCATAAATTTTCTATATTGAAGTTTAAAATGAATTTTTTACAACGAAAAAACATTCTTGAAGATTTCATTTTAGCTTTAATTGAAAGTTTAATAAATTAATTAAACAATTCTGGTGTATTTCAGATAGAAACTATATACGTTTCATTGTCAAATTTAATTTCAAATTTTTAAATTTTCTTAAAAACGGCCATTTTCTTAATTTTAAGAAATTTGTAAACAAACACAAATTTATCGATTTTTAAAATATTTAAAAAAAATTCTGACACGTTATTTTAGTAAAATTAAAAAAAATTAAAGTTAAAGTAATCTGATTTCAAAAAATCTTTGTTACTTATAGCATAAAAATAATATACAACCAATTATTAACGAGCGGTCCTGTTCAGTTGTTCGATCTTACTGATAATGATTGATTGACGAGCCGATGACAGCTACTACTGATGACCATAAATGACATAATTTTTAAGTCTGAGTTTTAAAAAAATTATTCTATTTGAGTATGACACACACTAATGGAAATACAATACATAAAAATAAAATTATTTAGTGAAATAGTAAATGAAAAAAAGAAAAATAATTTAAAATTTAAAGTTTACACTTTTACAGCTGATCGGAAAATACAATCTGTTAATAAACGAAAATGTTTTGAAAAGGCCACGTAAAGGACAAAACCCTTAGATCACGTGACCTTGTTATAATAATGGCAATTTCTGTATATCATACATGGAAATAAGGAATGTATTAAGTAAAAAAATACAACATAAAAAATTATTTTAAAAAAAGTAGCGCAACTAAATTTATTAAACTTAGCAATTTTGGATTCGTAAATTTTTTTCTACTTAATTAGTACATAATATCGAGGAACCCTCCTAATATAGAGCTTTACACGATTTAAAACTATTATAAATTATTATAATTAAAATTTCTTAAAAACGAAAAAAATTCTTGTAAAAATTAATTATTCATCAGAAAAAAATTATTTCTTCAGACAATAATGTCCTTAATATTACTTATTTACAAAAGCAATTAAAAGCTTTTCTAATTAAGTAATATCATAGTTTTATTGATTCATTATTTTTCAATTCAGAGCAGATTTTCAGTTAAATAGCTCAAATTTGTGAAAGAAAAGTAGATTATTTACCATCTGCGAAGACTCCTACTTTTAACAAAAAAAATTCAGAAACCAAAAAGGTTTTGGGAGAAATTTCATTAAATTAAGTAAATGTGGGTAACATATTTTAAAAAAATATAATTTTACCAAAATTTTCTAAAAAAATATTTCAAAAATAATTTCATTCATTTGTGAATAAGTCCTGAAAATTTCATTAAGATTGGACAATTATTTTATTTTTACAAGAATTTCCAAATCAATATGTTTTCAACGGTAAAAAACGCAAAAAAACAATGTTATTTTAAACGTCGCCGCGATGACGTAAACAAAGACGATTTTAACCAAAATTTCGAACGTGTTAGAAAATATTAAATAATTTCAAAAAATAATTAAAAAATACTTTTTTCTTTCATCTTAATAATAACATAAGCATTTTGACGATAATACTTTATTTTCTTTAAGTTTGTGGCATTTTTCATTTACGCTATGCTGTTTTTCCGCGAAAACAGTGGACATGCTTAGTTAATGCGCACGAACATTAAGCTCTTCCATTACCTCAAGTAAATAGTAGACTGTTTGATTGCGAAGATAGACGAAGGAAAAGAGCTGTTTGGTTTTAGGCAAAGGAAGGAAAAAAAGGAAGATAGAGGCGGCGATAATGCTCACATGCGTTTATGGAAAACTTTGTCAGCTTTTAATCTTTTCATTTGTACCCTCTTTATTAAATAACCGACATTCATGCGTATGAGCGTCCTTGGTATAACAATAAACTACACCGGCAGCAAGGCCTCTGATTTGGAGAATAGAAATTACTTCTTCATTGCTGTTGTTCCCAGGTCCACCCTGACCCGGGGTTTTAGCCCGTGTTAGGTTCCCAACTATGGGAACCCCTAAACAAAAATCAGCAGTACATCTCCATAATAACATAACTAAGAATATAATTTTTTTTTAGCAAAATAACAATCAACACAAGACTAAAATACATAAAAATATATTTTTATAGTAAAATTACCAATTATTCGTTTTATGATCTACAAAATATATATCTAAAAATATACCTTTTACTGTGAAAGTATAAAATTACGTACAAAATATTTAGGCTTCGGCCTTAAATTACCCATATAGATGTTGATATCCCGCTAAACAAAATGAATCAACCAAACAACAAACATGGGAGAACTTTTTTTATTAAATTGTAAGATATTATATGGATTAATATCCATATAATATCTTACAATTTCTTAAAGAAATCAAACTGTATTCCAAAATATATCTTTAAAAAACACTACAACATATAACACTCACATCACCACCTCCTAATAATTATATCCACACAAACATGTATATACACGAAAGCTGAGTATCATCTACCATGTATTCAATTGTGAAAGCAGAATAACATATATTTTTATTACGTCAAAATTCCCAAGAAAATTAAATTTCGGCATTAAATGACCCATGAGGAGTTGATATGCCGTTAAACAAACCAAACCATGCTGTTAAAGTGGGAGAATGATAGTGCTTGTTTGCTTACCTTCAGGTGTTTAAATCCTGGCAGGATTCACTGGTTAATTTTATATAACTTTTTGGCATTAGCATGACAGAAATTACAGATAGAAAAAGAAAGAAACGTACATAAAATTACAGACTGACCATTATTGTATATGTTATTGTATA